TGTAAATTTCGAAAATCTCTCGCTTGGATAGTGGTCAATAGAGAATCGATGTGAGAGGTGGTGTTCGGGGATCGATGGTCCTTTATAAATCACCCAGGACCATGTTATGGCAAGGGATTTGCCGTCTGATACTTTAATAGGAAATGGGTACCGGATGCTCCAACACCATCGCTTGATAGGGAAAGGAAGGTAGCGATCATTTTCTTCCTGCCGCGGGACTGTGGACCTGATGGGTGCGAAAGACCACTGAGAGCTTCCCACATAAATCGTCATGAGCATTGACCGCGGAAGATCTCATCACTTTGGTGTGATATCTGGGTCCAGTGGAGGTGTGGGACAAACTATACTCTCTGTCCCCGAATTTGCACAGCGCGATTATCTGATAATCAAACTTATTGGAAGGCCTTTATCAGCAATAACTACACTAGAGAGTCGTCGATCCCTGCCTGTCCACGAGGATCGGTGGAGGATTGGGCATATTTCTGCAACTGTCAAATCCTGATCATTCGCTGATTCAGCGGCCGTTCATCTCCCCACATGTTCTCGGCCATAAGGGGTAGGGAGTAGAACATAAATACGTTTGTATGTATGCGACATTGCCACGTAAGTAGTGAGCCGTTCTACACGCGAAAATCCCTCAATGACGAGCTGGCCAAGGTCTGTTCTGTTCTGTCCAAGACGAGAAATCGAGATAGAAAGATTAAGAAATATTGAAGATCCATGAGGCAAACTGTTGGGGCGAATGCATGCTGCTCCATGCCGTAAGAACCACAGAATCACATAACTAATGCATGGACTAAAGAACCAGATTTTCACTTTCCCTTCCTTGTTCCACTTTTTACAAATTACGTAGCTCAGAGTCATTCATCGCAATGTGGTGGATCATTGTCTCGGGATGAGATTTAGGTACTGATGAAGTCTATATCGCAATAAGTAGGCTGGAAACAACATGCCAGTCGCTAAAACAATTCCCTCTTTATCTCTCTTATTCGATTTAAGAAATGCAGATGAAGGACGCGGCGATATCTTCCGCGGGCTCGGTATGACCAGCGCTGCCTTGGGTTCGGTGGAGTGGTGGAGAAGGAGGGATATTGGAGGCTATTGGTGGTTTAAAATAAACTTTCCGCAGTAGGTACCAAACATGGTGCAGGTTCTTCCGATCATAGAAGCTACGTCACCGGGGATCAGCAAGGCAAGGAAATGCCGTCTTGTTCGATGCCACACTTCGTGGGCGAAAACATCACGAATGACAGCGTCACGGGTGGGACTGCATAGTGCATGCATCGCGGACACAGTCCATGCTGCATGCCGGGGAAGGATCATCTTGAGTGTGTAGCCATCTGGATCTTTTGCACCTTGGCGGAGCGGGGCCAATAAAGTTGCCATGTGAGGCACGAAAACCTCGACAAAGGTGTTGCCTGGCTCCCCAAAAAATAACATTCCAACAATATTTACATACAGATTCGGATATTGCGGAGATTCATCTTAACGCTTTTCGATACAAGCTGAAGCCGTTTTAACGGATGTCTGTCCTTGCCTCTCGATCTATATGAACGTATCAGCGCATGCCTGCACGATGAATAAGATATGAAGGATGCATGACGTACATTGACAGTACTATCTTTTCCAACCGCTCGCTCTCAATTATGACCATCCGCCTGCTCCACATCAAAACAGAGATCGTCACGGTTTTCAGCTCGAGATGAGTTGCAGCATCTGAATGAGGACTATGATTAGCCAGAGTGGAAGAAGATTGGGTAGTAGAGATAAGATCAGATGAGATTGAATGTGATGCTTTTTTTATTCAGTTTAGCTAGGATTTTGGCCGGTATTTAGATTTGGCCGAAGGTAGGCATAATGCTATGTAGTCTAAATCGTTGCTCGAATTTGTGACCTTGGTTTTGTGGCCATGGTAGCAAGCGCTGTGGAAGGGCCAGCGTACAACTCGCAGACAGACCAACACACGGGCGGCCTCTTGGCTCTTAGCTCTTGGATATTTAGGTTTGGGCCGCGGGCGCAAGTGTCCACTGTGTCCCGCAACTAAGGTCGATCAACCACTCGCACTAGGACACGGAAGCTGGTCCTACATTACCAGTGGAATGTTCCCCTAAAAAGAAGACAGGACCCTGGGCCTACGTCAGTCTGAGATCCGATAGCGCGTGATGTGTGGAAGCGGTAGTGAACGGTGACAGGCAGTCAAGCTAATATTGGACAGACCTCATTCTAGGCCTAGATTCCTCGTTAAGGATCCGCTACGGGGACGCCTTAGTGCGGTTCTGTGTTGTATTGATACAGTCTAGCAATACCTTCTTCTGCGCGGAAGTTATAACTTAAGAAATGTTACTCCGTGTATCAAGTAGAGATATCGGACTATAACACCGCCGGACCGTGACAAGGGACAGTTCTGCCTTCCATTCCAATGCTAAATTTTGTATCAATAATTGTTCGTGATATTTTCTATAAGGACTTTGGATCAAGAGGACACTGATAAATTGAGAATGGATGCGATGGAATGTATTACGTGATAAGTGTTTGGTCTTCGTACCATCGAGGCTAAATAAGCCATTGGAAGGAGCATTATACGCAACCTCTTACTCGTAGTCAGAGACGACGCTATACGTGTTAAGAAAAATGGAAACTCCGCCATAAGCTCACCAAAGCATTCGCATAAGAAAGTCAACTTTATTTCCGACCAGGCGACGGGGGAACCTGGTAGAACTGAATCAATGAAAAGGAACATGTCTCCTGCATGGGTGAACAAAGACAAAATGTTTGGGCCCTTCCAGTGGACGAGGCCGGAATCATCCCAGCTTAGGAGAGTAGGACATCCGTAACCAAAGGCACACCCGTCCCAGCCTCGCCACAAGTGACCTTGTGGGATGCAAGCCTAGGAGGCACAGGGGTCTCTGCACATCCAGCCAGAATTCATCGGGAGGAGTTTGCACAATATCATAATGTGAAGATTACCTTGCTGAAAGTGTCAATAATGCGATCAGATAGATGAGCGATGACGTTATTGGGCCTAACTCATATTGCTGTCTTTCTACCCCGAATTGAGTTTGATATATGTGGTGCGGAGGGTAAGCCATGAAAGCTCGCACTGGCAGCCTTTGTTAATGAAGCTTAGGCGTCTTAAAGTTCAGTTTTCTGAGGGAAATATGCCTCCACCGCTGACCGGATGGTGTAGTTGGTTGTCACATGCCGTTAACACCACTCCAGTCAAATTTTATTTTTCGATCCTTATTATAATAACTATTATCCGCTTCATTCGGAGCGCTGCAAGACCGTCTGTCTATGTTGATAACTTGGTCAAGTACATTCGAATTCTCCCGCTCTCATAGTGTGATACTATGGCACTCTGCGAGGTGTAGCTTGTATCTGGGAAGTGAAGTAGAAACAGCAATACAGCCGGGAATGTCACATCGGCGACTAGGTTCACCGAAGAATATCGGTAACTGATGAGTCTTGAAATGCCACTGGAGTGCGTCCTTTCGAGAATAGCAGAACTCTCTTGCCGCCGGATTTAGGTCTGCTCGCCCTAAGCACAATGGGCATTTCAGAATTTCTACAATAGCTGTCTCTTTGAACTCTTTGCAATTATTGTCCCCATACATAAACACCAAAAGTCAACAGACAATAATTAGGGCACAATTTTGGAGACTCAGCCGTTATTTGGTATCAAAGCCGCTATCCTTCTCAAGCCAAGTGCCGAAATCCTTCAACTCAGGGTGCACATTTCTCAGTTCCGAAATATTTGCTCCATACCCGTTATCATAGAACCACTGGAACATGTACCCGAAGTCTTTCATCATTGCCATCAGACCCTTGCCAACAAAGCCAAACGTCGTTGGGACAGACTTCCCAGTTTTAGTCTTGAAGATGTCGGCCATCTCATCGTAAGTGAGCTCATCACCAGCCAGAGACACGCCTCTGTTTTGGTACTGGTCCGGGTACATGAAGGCCTGCGCTCCGAAGAAGCCGATGTCGCCGACCGAGATAAGTTGGAGCGGCTTGTCCTTGACTGTGTTCTTCCAGCAGGTGGCGAAGACCTTGCCGAAAAAATCGGGGGTGAAGTTCTCGAGGAATGCAACAGGGCGTAGAATGGTCCAGGTCATTCCGCTGCCCTTGGCCTTTTCGACCAGATGATGTTCGATCTTGTGCTTGCTGATGAAATGGGGGATACGCGTGGGACTGTCTAACGAAGTGTCACCACCGCGATCAACGGATGAGTAGACGAAGTGCTTGACATTGTTCTTGAGAGCTGCGTCGACAAAAGCCTTGCCCTGTCTCTCTTCGACTTCCTGGTTTGTTCCACCTGTGACCGGGACCTAAGATGTGATTAGCTCTGGTGTACAGATCTAGCAACTAACAACTCACCTGGACACTATAAACACCCCAGATAGGCTGAGAAGTGACCTTGTGGGCATTGTCGAAGATCTTCTCGGGCTCATCTAGATTGCCTTCGACTAGTTTGATGTCCGGGGACTTTGCCTGGAGCTTGTGCGCTCCACTAGAAGATGCATCGCGGGTGACGGCAAGAATTTCAAAATCTGCCTTTGCTTTGAGAAGTGCCGCGACGACACTTCCTCCCTGCTTGCCGGTCGCACCGGTGATCAGAACGGTTTTCGACATGTCGGGTTGGCGACGAAATATTGGCGTAAAGATATCTCCAACGTCGGTTGATTAGCAAAGGTATAGTATTTCCAGGAAGAATCGGAAATATGGTCGATCGTTTAAAAGTAGTTTAAACGAAATAAAGTTTAGGATATCTTACCAAGACATTGATAATCTACCCTATTATAGGTAAGCATCGGCCTTGGTTTCAATCCCGAGCTCCACATCAGCCACAACGATTGGCCAACCACCCCTGCACATGTGGGGGAAGGCTGAAATGGTGACCTAACCTCGTATCTCTCGCGTCTTCGGCTTTCCGATAGCAATATAATTGGTAATAATCGCCAGATCTCAGCTTGACTTCGGGCACGATCCATATTTCCGCTATGTCAGATGGAGACCACGGAGGATTTGCAGTCACGCGCAACAAACGAAGCTGCAAACGATGCAATGAGAGAAAGGTGCGATGCGACCGAAACAGCCCTTGTGGTGCATGCATCAAGGCAGGGCATCAATGTGGCTTTCCAGGCGCTAAGCGCGCGACACGTACCCTTAGTCGACCCCCTATAGGTGAACTGCTTGCGCGCTTGACCAATCTAGAGGCAGAAGTCCAACAGCTACGCGCAAAGCATCCCGAACCGAATAGAGATGAACAGCAGTCAAGCGAGTTATCCAGTTTGAGGGATGACCAAAGTCTTGATCCAGGTCACTTTGGTCTACCAAGGGGAGGATTTCTTGGGCACAGCAATCCCTCGTGGTCCTATGATTCATTTCGACAATGTTATCTTCAGCCATTACAGATCGAGGCCCTATGGCGTATATATCAAAAAAATGTTGCGCCGTTGGTTGCAGTCCTTCATCTGGCTACAACCGGCCGAGTTGTGCAGAATGCGTCGAAGGGCCTGAGAATTGACCCCACTAGCGAAGCACTTCTGTTCTCCGTATGTTTTGCTGCCGTGGTTAGCCTGGATCCAGATCAACTTCAGTCGGATCTTGGTCTGGAATACCACAAGGCAAAACCAGCCTATGAGCTCGCAGTAGACCAAGCGCTAAGCCGAGCCGACTTTGTTAAATCCCCTGGGATTCCAACCCTCCAAGCTGCTGTACTCTATCTCCTCTGTGAGCGCGTGGATGGAGATACAAGACTTGCCTGGGCTGGGTCTGCCGTGCTCATACGCCTTGCACAGTCACAGAGTATCCACCGCGATGGAAAGAGAACCGGGCTATCACCATTCGAAACGGAGATCCGTCGACGTCTCTGGTGGCATATTTGCATCCTGGACCTGCTCTGCTCAGAGGATCAAGGTATCGATATGCAAATCAGGCCAGAGACATTCGACGTCCAGTTTCCAGCCAACGTTAATGAATACGAGCTTGATTCACTTATGCTCGACCTTCCGCCTGAACAAAAGGGCTTCACGGACATCACCTTGTGCATCATAACATGTTTCATGATCAAGGAAGTGTATTCATCGTCCCAGCCCTTGAATTCAGTCACCTCGCTAGAAGACCGAGAAGTTCGGGTCAGGTCTGTGGGGAAAATTCTCCACGAACAATATCTCAATTATTTTGACCTGAGGATTCCAATCCATTGGGTAGCAGCCACAATCACTCGCCTTCACTTATCAAAGTCATGGGTCTCGGTGCACTCCCAATATTTACCCTCAGACCCAGGTGAGCCGCAATCACCATACAATGACTTGGTATTTCGCACTGCCGTCGAACTCGTCGAATTCACATATTTCCTACAAACAAATGATGTTACCGCACAATGGAACCGGCTCTGTAGGAGTTACAAGCCAAAGGAAGCCATTTCATACATTCTGGACCAGTTAAGCTCTCGTCCACCAGGTCCTGAGGCAGATCATGCCTGGGAGGTGGTAACCAAGACAACTCTCCTGTGGAAACATGGTGCCCAAGGCACTGGTGGTGAACTCGAACCGCTTTTGCTTGAGCTTATTCAGCGTGCTGATCTGCTACAAGAAGGGAAGGCGGCAATTCAGACGTGCGGGTTGGCCAGAGATCCTTGTTCTGGAGAGAAAATGACCCTCAAGTCATGGAATGAAGTTTCGATACCGGAACAAGTCAACTCCATAGAGATGGATGTCTCCGGATCGTACAGAAGCCCATCCACCCTTGCATGGCTTCAAGGGATCTGGCCCTATCAAGTAATTAATGAATTATGAATAATAGCATTTAATTGAATTCAATACCCTCTAGGCCTAGGGACAATGCCTGTAGCCGGAATATTGATTGGAATTTCTTTGTTGCGCTTGGATTTCAACTAGTTCCCAATGCTCCACAGTGGGAATCGGTAGATACTAGTTGTAATTGATTGTTCAGATCCTCGAAATTTTATAATTGATCGCAACTGTGCCCATGTGCTTGGCTGTATACAGGTAATCGCACACAGCCTAGGGATTCTCGACGCCGAATACTATTTCGTCCAAAGTAGTACAAATGCAGACTTTGTTCTTGAACAAGAAGTTGCAGATGTTCTCCTGATTGACCTTATGGCCAACAGCACTTTCCAGAAAGCAGCATTAGCATATCAAAGACACACTTGGATGAACAGCTAGGCAGACTGACCTGATATGGCACTCTTTATTAGGACCGGAACATACTGTATCAGGAAATGGACAACATCGTATCCACCCAAGAATCTCACTGAGGATATAGTTCCTCTGCGCGTAAGGGATGCCAGAGCCATGCTCTGAGAATCGGAGAATGGTCTCAACCGAAAACGTAGGTTCCTGGTATGTTTACGATTTCGCGTAGGGACACATCGGACAAGGCCATCCTGGTAACGCCAACGGAGGCGAATGGCTTACTGCTTGCGTTGGATGATCAAGGTTGGTAGGTTGGTATTCCAGACATAGGGTGTGCTAAACACCGACAAGGGTAATGATGGTCGAACGAGCTGATGTGTCGGGTGAATGTGGCAATGAGGGTGGTGTGTCTAGGGCTTTAATAGAGCCGACCATGTTTCCGTATTACTGAAAATTCAAATTGGGTGGCGGTTGGGGTGGGCGTGGGTAGTCGCTTGAGGGCTTCTGCAATGAGGATATCGCGTAGGTCTTTTGGAAGGCTGAATAAAATCGTGGAAGCCAAATGAACAACCATCATGGTGGACATATCAGTTCCTAGATCAGCCATAATTTGTAGTCAGAGAGTAGATCACGGTTGCAGAAAAAAGTTTCAATGGAATAAACAAAATCAGAAGCATCGTTGTCATAAGTCATGAACAAGAGAAACAGATCCCCTAGACGCCACGCTGGTTCAGGGCAACACCGATTCAGGGCTGCGAAGTACAATTTCAACCTTAGCGCAAAGAAACGAGAACCACAACAATGAGAACATAATACTAAAAACCAGGGCAAGAACAACAACTCGGGCTGCTTGCTTTTGTTAGCCATCATATTAGTACAACAGGCTAGGATGCAAAGAATAGTGGATTATTTTCGCTCGGCGCCCGATTTCAATCGAGGTTTCGGCTGCTGCTGTCGAGCTAGCCAAGGAAAACTATGAATTTCAGTGTTAGCTTTTGGATGAAACCGTTTGACAGTTGTGAAGCCCACCTTCCCATCCCCACTCAGCCATAACATTCACCCAGTGCAATCTGCCACGCACAGTTCTTTCAAATTCGATGTTTTCAAGCGACGCGAGTGCGGAGCCTCGGCGTGCAGACCTCGATGCAGGCTGCCCTGGTATTCCTCCTGCTGGGCCCTTGTGGGAACCGTTGGGACTGTGTCTGCGGAAATCGGTTGGCAATGACGAGCTCATTTTCTCCCTATCCCCAGGTGAAAAAGACTCAGCACGTCGCGAACTAACCATTTCACGCTCTCTTTTGGCATTCATTGCGTCGCGGCGTTCCCAAACCTCCTTCAGCACCTCCAAACAGCGGTCTACACCACCTAGCATTAAGCGAGACTGAATTGTGGTCCATCGATCCAAGACCCATTTTCGGTCATCGTCGGTGTCAACTTCAGAGCCAGCTGCTAGGAGTGGGAACAACTGTATGATAGTAGTCCGGGAGGTATTAGGGACGGTGGCGAGCAAGATCAGGACCCTCTTCGCTAATTTATCGGCCGGCTCAGAGGGTATCTCTGGAACAGCCTGATGCAGGTACAGCAACGTAGCCCAGCGATACGCATGTGCAACTTGAATGCTATGCTGCACCTCGGAACTGGGATCATCTGGTGGCTCAAACCAACGCGGTGGCTCCCATTGCTCGACTAGGGCTTTGAGTTCCATGGCTTGAGCCACAACGGACACCGTGTTCGACGAGCTCTTCCGCACTTGTTGGATCAGCTTTGCCACCCGACTCATGAGAGGGTATAGAGTAGTGGCACAGCCCATTAACGGATCAATATCATGGACTGTATCACTCGGAAGGTCGAAAACTGAAGAATCCCAGTTTTGAGGACCACAGTCATCCAAAGAAGTTAGTCGCGCAATCACGTCCATATAGGACCATGTGTTATAGAGAAACCGGATGCGATCCAGATGCTCGTCGCTAACAACTCCTCGCGTCCCACTCGCGATGACTTGACACATTAATGTTTTTGCACCTCGCAAGTGTTGAATGCATGTGCGGGTGTGTTGGTCCCAGGTATCGGCGAATGCTAGCGCCAGACTAGTGGCCAGTGCAGCATCCGGCCTCATGTTCTGGATTTGCCCAACTAGACCAGTTATGCTCTGGCGCATGTGCTTTACCCCTTGGAGCCGAAGATGGGGGTTCTGCTTGCCCGAGTGGAAAGCCGTCAGAGCAAAGATGGCATGGCGAAGTGCAGGCGTGTCTTTCGCTAACGGCCAAATGAGCGTTCGCCACGGATTCTCTAGCGCACCATCTTTGATGGATAAAATCCCACATGTGAGCTTATCAAACCTCAAAACGAGCATTTCTGGACTTTCCGGCGGTAAAGACGGGTTGTCTAACATGCTTGGAGAGTCGAGATGGAAATAATCTCCCTCTGGTAAGGTGAAGTTCCAAGGTCCCAGTCCTGGGTCTGACTTCCGGATAATTTCCTCAATGTCATCATTTTCATCCTCCAATAGCTGAGAGAAGCTCAGCTTTGATGCATCGGGATCCGGCTGCTCTGGGCCAAAAGGCAGATGCCTAGCAGGATCAGCATCGATATCAGAAACCAATGAGTTTGCTAGCGACAGAGAATCTTGAAAAGGCTCCAAAAAGGAGAGAAAATTGAACGGGGGAGAGTCGGCGGACAACGAAACATTAATATCAAGGGGAGGCTCAGTGCAATCAGCCATGGAAACATCGTCTCTTGTGACAGGTAGATCGTCAAGGGATCGAGCTTCAGTAGACAAAAAGCTATTGATACTAATGGGCGAGCTATGCAAAGGAGAGCCTGGAGGCGAGCGAGAGCCATCAAACTTGTGAGACTCTATGCGAATGGGTGATGCCGACTGCTCAGTCGTCGGAGGAGTTGGAAAGTTCTGGCCAATATTGGCGGCAGACCCAGCTTGATCGGATGAATGATTTGCTAAAGAGGATTTGTGAGTATATCAGGTCCGACCTACACGCACCCGTGACCTCTTACCTTTCTTGGCTTTGGTTACAGTAGGCCGCCCAGAAGCCAAGTTGGTCTCTTCGAATGGCCGCCATTTGAAGTCTTTCTTGTATCCTCCGCATTGAACCTTTCGTCTTTCGCACTGATGACATGATGGCTTGACTTCGTCGCACTTCAACCGCTTTGCCTTGCAGGTGATGCAACCTATAGAAGTGGGTCAATATTGTGGACGACATGAAGTGGCCATCTGCGTTATTCTTTCTTCAATAATAGAAAGATGTAGCCTCACAGTACTTTAACTTACCATTCCGACTCTTTGTCTGTTTTGGCTTTTGCGTCCTAAGATTTCCCCGCGCTGATGCCGGGTTGTCGGGCGGATCTAAAATCGATGGGAATTTAATGCTTTCCATACCAAGTCGATGCTGAAACCCATTCACACGGGAGAAAACGAGTTATGCAGAAATATGGAGATGAAAAAAGATAGATAGGAGACGATGACGGCGAATGGTAAGAGGAAGATAGGGAAATCCTACGGAGAGGAGATGATAAGCCAATGCGGGGGCGCCGATCTTGGAGAATGTCCAGAGGCGGTTTCCATTACAATCTCAACCAGGTTGGGCATCGGCTGTATCTGATTTAATTTTACGTGCTGACCTCAAACGGCTATGTCATTCCAACTAGACTACCTACTAGTGGGTAATCTGTTGGATATCTGTGGATATCAATCAATATAAACAATCACAACATCGTGCGGGGAACATTCAGCGTTTCTCCAACGGCACTACATTAAGGTTACGGATACCACCAGCAGCAGCGACGAAAATTTTTTTACGGGAAAACAGAAACGAAGGGGCAAGACTTTCATTGAAAAAAAAAGAAAAAGGAAGACAAACGGTGGCTGACACCCCCAGCGAAGGGCACAGACACAAACAGTCCCCACGAAGGCAACTAGTACCGTTGCCGGTACTTGTTGGTGGAACGGCGCGGCCACGGGAAGCAAGGGCGGCACCAGGGGAAGAGAGGGGACCACCACAGGGAGGGTGACCAGAGGGAGGGTTGGAGGCACAATCATGGCAGCAGGAGGAGCGGAGGCAGACGCGGGCCCAGTCTCCGCACAGACATCCATGTTCGGGGAGATATCCCGGACCATGGTGTCCATGTAGACACCGGAAACGGACACAAACTCAACGCCCTCCATGGGCACCACACCCTCCAGGTCCTCCTCAACGGGCGAAGGAGGATGCTGCCGCTGGCAGCTGTGGGCTGCAGCCGGTCGGGGCGGGGACAGGAGCTGTAGGGCTCAAGGTGAGCCCACAGATGGAGGAGGAGGGACTTCCACTCGTCGCCGGCCCCCGGGGCATCTAGTCCACCTTCAGAAGAGGACCAGTCCGGTACTCGCTGGCGAGTACCTGGAGGCCGCTCTTCGAGAATGGAGGCGTGGTGTCCAGCATGATTTTCGAAGAACAAAAAACAAAAACAGAAAAGACACAAGAAAAGAAGGGAGAGGAGGCGGATTGATTTGATTTACAGAGAAAAAAATGAGGTCAGATGGAAGGATTCTACAGGACTTATATATGTCGGTAAGCAGTACTGAAGCTATTGATAATTGACTTGAATAGAGTTCAATATTGAATCTCCAATGTGAATATCCATGAATTGTGAGGTGTATTGAGTGGTGCCTTAAGCAATTCTCTCAATGGGTGTGTCTGTTGTTGAACAATATAGACTTGAATAGCTGGATGGTTTAATAGGATCTCTGAATAGCATTGTTCAGTCGATTCGCCTGTCAGTTCCTGCCTTGACCCCACCATTACGTAGCTTTAGAAGGAAGAATCAAAGTGAAGTGCCGTTGAATTGAGACCGAAGTGCAGGCAATGTAAGGCCGAAGTGAGAGTGATACTAATTGAAACTACATAGTAATTGATATTACCCATAGTAGTAGGAATATTTTAAACACACTAGTGGTGTTGGATGATCCCATCCCCCATGCATGGATGCCTGGGTTTTCAGACTCAGTCTTTCTTGTTTGCTCTTTGTGGCCTTTATAAAAGGCCTTTCTTTTGATATATCGAATGCAGAGCTTCTTCTTTTTCTTGATTCTCCCCTAGTCGCTCAGATTCTTAGTTTCGAGCGTCAACAAGTGGTAAGCTAGAGGCCATCCCTATATAATGAAGAGGCACTTCTAAGGTTCCTAAGGTCTAAGGCTGTAAGCCCTATTATCACGACCTCGTAGAATATATTAATATCAGCCTCCGTGTATCACTATATAGACGCAGGGAAATCGGTTCGAAGCACGGCAATCGTTTAGTCAGAAGAGTAGCACCTTTTTGCATCTTTAACGTCGAGGGTATAGAGTTAGTGATCACCCAAGGCTATCTTAAAGAGCAGATACTATCAATAAACACTAGATGGAGTCTTGGGGCTCTACTTATAGTCAAGGAGCACGTGAAGAAATGTGAGCATTATCCTTCAAGTGATTGACCTAAGTCAGACACGAATATCTTCGCACGTCCGCGGGCACTACTAATATCTACGGCTACGGATATGTGACTGCAGGTTTTGACCTTGGGAGCTCTAAAGCTCTTGATAACAAGGTAGCTTACTTAAAGACAAGTGTGCCCTTGCCCAGACAAAATGTGCTAATTGCAACATATCATGATGGGGACATTCTTTCTTGGTATGCAGGGCATATGGAGATCGTAGATAGCATATTGCCCACAACCAACATAATTTTGGGCAGCATATTCAGATGTAGAAAAACCATCAAAGCTGAAGGAAAGATCGAGGCACAGGGACTGCACATACAGGTGAATGAATGTTATGTACGAAGTAGCCATATTAGTCCCGAGGTCCGTATGGCCATGATTAGTCATGTAGCGAATTTCGGACCTTCGGAGTCAGCGGGGAAACCCCAGATGTTCACGGCCCGAGGTCAACCGCAGCCCTTATTTTTGTCTCTGAATTCCCTTTCTTTACTTTCTCTCTGTTTCTATTCAGCAATTACTTGTTCTTGCAATTACATTATCAGCTATGTTCCGCTCGATACGGCGTTTGCCTCGACGCGTCCCCGTTGTGTCTACTGTTTCTTCACGTTCATTGCGGCCTTTCGCAAGCGGTTATACTCGGATGACGCCTGTGCAACCTCCCATATCCACCACCCTCCCCTCAGACGCATACCAGCTCCTGTCCACACAAGAGAAAGCTGGTGCAGCTGAAGATGCGCTTTACGACCAGCAGATTCGTGATGTGGAATCATGGTGGAATTCGCCTCGCTACGAAGGGATCAAGCGCCCTTATACGGCGGCAGACGTTGTGAGCAAGCGCGGATCCTTGCAACAAACATATCCCAGTTCTTTGATGGCGCGGAAGCTTTTTAATCTCCTTAATGAGCGAGCAGCTGCTGGTCAGCCCGTTCATACCAGTGAGTCCTCGCCTGGCTGAGCTCCAATTGTGACAATTCTGACATCGATTCTGCACACAAGTGGGGGCTATCGACCCCGTCCAAATGACGCAGCAAGCCCATAACCAGGAGGTTCTGTATATCTCGGGCTGGGCCTGCTCTTCACTTTTGACAAGTACCAATGAAGTATCCCCCGATTTCGGCGATTATCCCTACAATACCGTCCCGAACCAGGTCCAGCGTCTGTTCAAGGCCCAGTCCATGCACGATCGGAAACAGTGGGACACCAGGCGAAAGATGACCCCGGATGAGCGAAAGGCTACACCTTACACTGATTATATGCGACCGATCGTTGCGGATGGTGATACCGGGTACGTTAATAATCGGGACGAATGTATGAAGATTTACTAATTCTCTCGGGGCAGCCATGGCGGTTTATCGGCTGTTCTCAAACTCGCCAAGCTATTTGCAGAGAATGGTGCGGCGGCCGTTCACTTCGAGGACCAATTGCACGGCGGAAAGAAGTGCGGCCATCTTGCAGGCAAAGTCCTCGTCCCAATGGGTGAACACATCAACCGACTGGTCGCAGCTCGATTCCAGTGGGACATGATGGGATGTGAGAACCTGGTCATTGCCCGAACAGATTCTGAGAGCGGCCGACTCATCAGCAGCGCAATCGATGTGCGCGATCACGAATTCATCCTTGGTATCACGGAAGATGTGGAACCTCTGGCCGAGACCCTCCAAGCTATGGAACGAGAGGGCGCCTCACCCGAAGAAATCGACACGTTCGAGCTCGACTGGGTTAAGAGGCACAAGCTTGTTACATTCGACGAAGGTATGTTTATTAATTCGGTAGCAAACGATCGCATTTACTAACAATATGTAGCCGTCGATGCTCATCTTCAGTCGGAGGGTGCTTCCCAGTCTTCTAGGGAAGCGTACAAATCTTTTGTTAAGAAGAACCCTGATCTTTCCTTCTCTCGTCGCCGTGCGCTGGCGAACGATTACACCAAAACACCTGTTGTCTGGTCATGTGATAGCCCGCGCACTCGCGAGGGATTCTACCACTACTCTGCAGGGTTCCCTGCTGCGACCAAGCGCGCGAAGGAGTTTGCTCCTTACGCAGACCTTCTCTGGGTCGAAACTGGTGACCCAGATGTCGAGAAGGCCGGAACGCTAGCGGGCGAAGTGCGGGCGGCGTACCCAGGCAAGAAGCTTGTTTACAACCTCAGCCCTTCGTTCAACTGGATGGGGCAAGGATTTGACGAGGCTTCCCTCAAGTCCTTTATCTGGGATATTGCCAAGCAAGGGTAAGTCAGCATTGGATGGGATGTGCCTCACCGGGATTTGCTAACTTCTTTCAGATTTGTCCTGCAGCTCATTTCACTGGCTGGGCTGCACACTAACGCCACCATCACAACCGAACTTTCCCGTGCATTCAAGGATGAGGGTATGTTGGCTTATGTCCGTCTTGTCCAGTCCCGTGAAAAGGAGCTCGGTGTCGATGTTCTCACCCATCAGAAGTGGAGTGGCGCGCCTTACATGGATGGAATCATGGGCGCTATCCAGAGTGGAAGTAGCAGTAGCAAGAGCATGGGTGAGGGTAACACAGAAAAAGGTAGGTCTCATGCACCGATTTCAAGAAAAAATCAAATTGCTAACAACAAATCCTAGGTTTCTAATTCCAATTCAAAAGATACATATTGGCAACTGTTTGTTTGATTGGCGAGTATTTGATATTGAGATACATCCGAGCCTGCATGAGGTGCAAATCTCACTACTTCCTTTTTTTAATCATGTTGCGATTTATCTGTAGAACGCTATAGCTGGTAGTCCTCTAATGACATGGTCGACTGAGGTGAACCAAATACCACTCTGTGGCGGCTTTGTACAATAGGGATTCTCATGGTTCCGATTTGGTTCAAGAGCTACTATCAACATTGGAGAGTTTCCCGGTCTTAGGCTTATTGAAGCTATTCTTTCTTCAGATCTCATTCCAAGAGCAGTCGTATTCAGTTAAATCATCGACTAGTGTCCAACTTCCGAGCCAGCCTAAACAGCCCGCCCCTGTGAATAGGCTCATACTCTATCCCACTGGGATTTTCCTTCAGGCAGAGACGATACCTCGTCAATCAATTAAAATCAATGTTGGGATACACAGTCTACTTGCACACCCCCTCATCATCCTTAACAAGTTGCTGCAAGTCAGATTAGTCTTTGATGCCACAATGCTTCGGTAGAAGGCGAGAAAACCTACCAAGCAGAAGCCGCTGGCACAGTTTCCTGCGCTGCCATCGGATTTGCAAGGGTGTCCGACGGGAAGCTGAGGAATGATTAGAGGCTTCAATGGTATTCGGTGTCCATTTGTTTGAACTTACCATAGGAGGAGCCTTGTCTGCAGCCAAAGCAGCGCCGATAATGGCCATGAATGTGATGAAGATAAAACGCATATTGAAATTGGAGGAACTATGTCTCGATCTTGGAAACTTTAAACATGAAATGGTGGAGGGATGGGTCTAATTCACGATCAGCAGAGTGATGGTATATATATTTCCCTGCGGAGGCCTGGTGTTACTCGGCATATCGAATCTGGAGTCTTGACTGGACTAGAGAAAAAGGCTGGCCAGGCACAGTTTCGTCCTTGCCCGTCTGCACGCAACGAAATCACTGGACGAATAAACAGCCTCTAGAAAGGGGTTCGCTATCTTGTTGAATTTTGAACGTCGCCTTCTACCCCCGAGATTATGTGTCTGTTATTGAAAATCGGTCCATGCTGTACTCGCGCCACGGCCGAATTCAGACGGCTCTTTCTTATTCTGTTTGTTCTTTTCCTTTCTATCAAATGGGCTCATGATATTGCCCCTAGCAATGTGCACGTTTTGGATAGCGCGGGCAATTGATTGAGTTGCGTTTCAATTCAGACTGTACGGGTCCTTGGGCCTATAAATAGATCGAACTTGCTTGTTCTTCATTAAAGGCTATAGATTGTGATACAAAATAATGAAAGAGCGAGGATTTATGCAAGGGGGGTACCACTTCCGATGAGCGTGCAAGGTACGGAGTGGGATACTGGGGCTTCTCGGTACCATATATCACGGGCTATGAAAGACTGAACAAGGGTAAACACAAACTCTGTTCGGCCTTATCGCACGTTAAACGGCAATTTCTATAGATAGCATGCTTTCCCTGCAAACAGACAGCGAGTAGACGGGGGACTGCTGGTGGATAATGTATAGACTTCTTATTTCTGCTGATGGTTTGGGACTTGGCTTCATGGGAGTTTGGTGCAGGCCATTGGATCAAAGCATATCGAAGGGACATTACCGTGGAGGTAGGCGCTAGTTACAGCCGTCTTCTTGAAACGGTCATATAAATCGAGTCTCAGCCGGAAGACTGGAACAAGATCCGTGGCATCGGAATAAAACTAAAAATTGATTATTCTATTTAAATTGGTGACAAGAAAAGTAAAACGGTCCGAAATCCAATCGTACATTACGTAGTTACGCCCCTTTCAAAGGCATCATAGGATGAAAACAGCTCGAATGGAGAATGAATAGGTCAACAAAATTGATAAATAGGCAATAGCTCGGGGTTGTCCATCAGAAGCCCATGAAGATGTCAGAAACAAATAACGTCGAGAAAGGAACGACAGCCATCAAGCTGGCAAGAGCCTTGAGAGAGAGACAGTCACCACCCCGGAGGTCATCAAATTCCAATAAAAGCGGCAGAGGCAAACAGAGTTGAAAGAAGCATGACAGTCTTCAAGCTGGTATGGGCCTTGGGCAAAGAGGCATTCGCCCCAGAGGTACTTGTGCTAGTCGCCGCGCTCTCCGTCGATGTACCTGATGATGTCTTGTCGGTGGATGATGTCAGAGAGATTTCCGATGCAGTCGGGTACGAGGTGGCCGTTGCAGTGGCATTAGTTTCTCCGTGACACCACACGTCTTTCCAGGCGACGCCAGCTTTGTAAAGGCAGTCGGTAAGATCTTGAACTGATTGATCCACGGCCAGAGCGTAGATAGCGCAGTCGTCATTATAGGCAGCTACCCCTGCGGGCTTCGCGCATTTTGAAAGGAGTCCTTTGTATTTGTCGGTGTTGGGAACCGCACATGATGCATCTTTGACAGGAATTTCGTACTGGGCTGCGGTTCCACAACCTGTGCTAGTTGCCACAGCTCCGTTCGCCGTTGCAGTTGCCATGGTTTTGAGCTTTTAAAGCAAGGAAAATCCAGAAAAAAAAAAGAAAATTTCGAGGGATAACTTTTGACTTCTGGTTTGATCGGCGATTTATCGTAGCATCCCTGGTTCATATGAGCCTTTATAGTTGTTTAGCCCCTTTAGGGGCCATTCGTTTATAGAGCCGCAGCCCTAGAATATCTCCGGCTATTTTTAGTCGGTCTTGTCGGTCTTCTTGTTTCGCCAAGTACATATGAAACTGCCAAGGTCCTACGTGATTGGTAAATAAGGAAGACATGTTCCCTATTGCCGTCACAGATATGAATATAATACAGCAATGTAAGCCACTCTACTTCGTTTAAGCATCCCTGTTATCCTGATCTCGGTTTATAGTGGGTCGCCAGGCTGAGGTCTTCTTGTCTGGGAGGCCTGGCACGCGGTAATAAGTTTTCAGCTCGTAAATCGCATGCTGGCATTAGTTTCGTAGACTTTCAGGATACTCCTTTTCCGCCTTGTTTATGAAAACAGCTAGATGCAAGCAGAGAGACGGGATTCTATCCACGATGGCAACAACTTTCTAGTTGAGTGCTGGGCGGCTGAGGACCATGCCGTCGGCTGCCGTCCTGGAATAGTGCAACATTGAAGTCTTTTTGTTTTGAATGTATCAAAGGATGCTCGGCGAATTACCTCTTTATATCCGTGGTGCACTCAAACCACGACAGCCATCAATTTTATGAAATTCTTCAATTGCCGTAGAAGATGAAGGGAAAGTGTCCACGGTAATGAAGACTGACAAAGATATGCTGAAGGTAAGAAGTCCTATAAAGCTAAAACAGCACTAAATAAGGAGACGAAAGAATATCAGACAAGAAGGACTGGACAAAGAGAAATCTGAAAGATGAGAGAGGTAAAAGAAGAGCTGCGCAAACACCCGAATCGACTGTCAACCATATGCTTTAAGGGATGGGGTTAGACCCATAACGTAGACAGGAAATTCGAGTTCTCGGATGACTGTCTGAAACTGAGTAAAAAGGTTTGTATTAGCCACGATTAAGATAATCAAGGAAGGTTAAAATCTTATTGGTATTTACCTTGGATTTTCCAACAAGGAATGCGAGCCTTAAGTTAAGCTTGTACATTCTCTTGATGTTGCAGACTTCGAAGCTAGGAGTAATCTCAGGGGGCAGTCGGTTGTTGGCCCATATGGTATCCCGCAAACTGACCGTCGAGTCCGTAGATGCATCTGCAAAACCTACCGGATAGTTTATATTGGCCACACTTTGCACGATCCACGTGCTAGTAGACGATTCCGACGTCCCATGCGCTTTCACTTGTGTCGTCTCGACCAGCATGGTTTGAAATGCACTCAGCAGGAATTTGCACTGCGAATTTCCAAGCTTCGTAACTTTTATACTCAAAGGGATTGAGTTACCTAGGAGAAGGCAAGGTCCATTTCGAAGCTCAGTGTCGATTCTGAAGGATAAAGGTGGATCATTGTCGAGGATATGCGGGCTGATGCTGATGGAGCACTGTTGCCTAAATGGATTCTGTTTCAGTATTGGGCCTGAAAATGAATGAAATATAATATTTTGAGACTTGATAATGATCAGCAATGAATTCAATGCAATAGTTCGTTCTCTGTAATTTCTGGAGAAAGCTGGCAGTTGCTGACCTTTTTCAGTGTAGTTTTCCCAGAAACAACAACATCCAGAGAATATTTAATCTCAGCCAGTGAGTCCGAGTCGCCTGTTGAGGGCGGAGTCTTCCTCAGCAGGTGGGATTTCCTTCTGGGCCAACACGCAATATTTGCGCATGGAATTTGCGGCTTGTCTGACCAGTGACCGGTTTTGTAGCATTCAATAACTTGTGGGATCTAAACAATTTCAAATTATTCAGTCAGGTACAGCTAGACATAGGTGGTTTGGATATCTTGATTGTGCTGACCGTGATAGAAAACCGGAGAATATGATTTCCGCTTCCGATAGTTACACTGGAGCTGTTTGAATCATGCATCAAATGGTCCGAGGGAAAAAGGCGGTAAGACCTTTGGAAGAGCTGAAGGTTGCCAGTGTCAATGACAATTATCAAGTTGCAATGGTTGGTTGGGGTGGCCATTTTTGCACATACATTATGGGTTTCCGTGCGTCTGCTTTGAGTCAGCCGGGAAGTCGCTGTTCCCGACAAGTTTAGGACAATTGTTGACAAGTCGGCTGGCCACTCAGTGTGCAAAATTACCTCGCCTGATACTGTATCTTGACGAGTATAGACTGGCTCTGTCTCGTCCAACCTCAACTCCACTTTCATCGGTGACTGGGAAAGCCCAAGTGAGCTCATTTTGAATAGCATGGGGAGAATCTGTTAAGGGTAGTGCTTCGCTGGAAAATTATAAGGAGCTCTCGTACTTATCCTTAAAGGGTTCAATTTTGCCATTAAAAACCTAGGTACATAAGAAAACTCCACTGCATGTCTCACTTGACAGTGACCCCAGATTTCGGCGCAATCAGAATTTTGTGCCTCATGGGAATTCACGGAATTTGAGTTATTTTTAGTCGGTTAACAAGGTTGAGTTGCTGAAACTTTTACTAAAATGATGATGTAGAGCTGGAGTGCCTCTAACGACCGTAGGTAGTTTGCCCATTGGTCGAAAATAATAAGGGTGGTTTAGCCTCACGCTAAGAAATAGGGCCTGTCATTTGATTGGCGAACCTATCAAAGAGAGATGTGGGGTCCCGGCTTAAAATAGCCGCTTATACTTAATTTCTGTTAGAGCGAATTGAAGTATTCTAGCTTGTTATTCCTTTACGTTGATGGAGAAAAGGGAAGACACTTGAATGCTTCCCACCTTTAATTATATTCCATGCAAAGTGCTCGGCTTATCTGTACAGCCTGTCATACCTTAATCAATTCGGACCGGCTTGGCATCAGGGATTTCAGGGATTGCATCTCGGACTTTCAGCTTACACACCCCGAGCCCTTGTTCCACATTGGGTCCAGACTGGTACATGATGAATCCTTTTGATGGGTCTCATTCATTTCGTTATGCATGGCAAACTGATGAAAGCGACGGCCTGAGTGATGGTCATTCGCCTCGGGTAAGTGGATATGAAGCGGAAATTGCTTTGTCTCTGGACATGCGGCAAGCCGAACTGACTTTCCCATCCTTACCAGAACACTGAACTCCCAAATGAGCACGCTCTCTCCCTGCTTCACTCGGCGCATTCTTCTGCCTTATCTCTCAATCCCTTCGAAGACCCAGTCTCTTCCAGTGAACGTCGACCGTACAACTCTTCATTTACTGAGGTTAAATGCCCCAGACCAGATTCCATGGAATCACTCGATCTCCCCGATCAGATCAGATCACACAACATCTCCAACCAGGGCTCTGCTGTTTCCTCTTCCAAAGAGTCAGGCACACGACACAAGGGAAGCAGTATCCGTCGATATCCAACACGGCGGATCAAGTTGACACAAGGCTCGGTCTTGAGTATCAACTATCCAGTACCTAGTCCTATACGCAACGCTATCCAGCCTGAGTATCGAGATGCAGAGGGGGAACTTTCCGAGGAATTCACGCAAATGAGATGTGAGTATCTCACCGATGTGCCAGTCGATTTAACCCCATCATGATAACCTGAATTTTCCCTTCCTTATTTAGATACCGCCGCGACATGTGATCCTGATGAATTTACGCTACGCAATGGTTACAATCTCCGTCCTTCGATGTACAATCGGCACACTGAACTCCTCATCGCCGTCACATACTACAACGAGGATAAAGTACTGACCGCCCGAACCCTGCATGGGGTAATGCAAAATGTCCGAGACATCGTGAAGTTGAAGAAATCAGAATTCTGGAACAGAGGTGGTCCCGCATGGCAGAAGATTGTCGTCTGTCTTGTCTTCGATGGCATGGATCCCTGCGATAAAAACACACTTGACGTTCTGGCAACCATTGGCGTTTTCCAAGACGGCGTGATGAAGCAAGATGTGGATGGAAGAGAAACAGTTGCTCATATAGTTTGTTCTCCCTCCCAGCGCTTTTGGATTCCAATACCTAGGGAAATGTCCGAGTGCTAACGGTTCCCAGTTCGAATATACCACACAGTTATCGGTTACCCCGAAGCAAGAGCTCGTGCGCCCATACAAAGACGACCCTAGAAATCTGCCTCCGGTACAGATGATGTTCTGCCTCAAGAAAAAGAATGCAAAGAAGATCAACTCACATCGGTGGCTGTTCAATGCATTTGGGCGCATCTTGAATCCCGAGATCTGCATCCTGATTGACGCGGGCACAAAACCTGGACCTAGGTCTTTGCTAGCCCTGTGGCAGACTTTCTACAACGACAAAAACATCGGTGGGGCCTGCGGCGAAATCCATGCACTTCTTGGCCACCGATGGAAGAAGCTGCTTAATCCCCTGGTTGCGGCCCAAAATTTCGAATACAAAATCTCGAATATCCTGGACAAACCCTTAGAGAGCAGTTTCGGTTATGTGAGCGTACTTCCGGGGGCTTTTTCGGCCTATCGGTATCGCGCTATTATGGGCAGGCCGCTTGAGCAGTATTTTCACGGAGACCACACACTTGCTCAAAAGCTCGGCAAGAAAGGAATTGATGGGATGAATATCTTCAAGAAGAACATGTTTCTTGCAGAAGATCGCATTCTTTGCTTTGAGTTAGTTGCCAAGGCTGGCAATCAGTGGCTACTCACATACGTGAAAGCATCGAAAGGAGAAACAGACGTCCCGGAACGACCAGCAGAGTTCCTAAGTCAACGGCGGCGATGGTTGAATGGATCTTTTGCGGCATCGCTATATTCAGTCATGCATTTCAACCGGATATACAAGAGCGGGCATGGTATCATTCGATTGCTATTGCTTCATATCCAATTGGTCTACAATATCTGCCAGTTGGTCATGACATGGCTTTCACTCGGTAAGTTTATGGTGCTCTTTAGGTCTTAGATTAATCCTACGCAAGACCACTAACATATACTAGCATCCTACTGGCTCACAAGTTCCGTCATCTTGGACATTGTGGGAACACCAAGTGCGACCAACAAATTTAAAGGCTGGCCTTTTGGGAACGATGTTACCCCGATTGTCAATAACCTGCTGAAAGTTGGTTATCTGACATTCCTTATGCTTCAATTCATCCTAGCTCTCGGCAATCGACCAAAGGGGTAAGTATTAGGGCCTGAAGATGGGTACTTGCTTTCGCTTCATAGCTAACCATCAAGCACAGATCCAAATTTCTGTACACGCTCTCCTTCGTCTACTTTTCTGTGGTCCAGCTCTATCTCCTCGTTTTATCCTTCTATCTCGTTGCGCAGGCCATGACTCCTGAAAATCTCAATTTTGATTTCAGTCATGGTTTGGGGGCACTCATATCGGGCTTTTTCAACTCAACGGGCGGGCTTGTGCTGATTGCCTTGGTCTCAACATACGGGATCTACTTCCTTGCGAGCATTCTCTACGCCGACCCTTGGCATATGCTCACTTCATCGTGGGCCTATTTCCTTGGAATGCCTTCTTCGATCAATGTTCTAATGGTCTACGCATTTTGCAACTGGCATGACGTTTCATGGGGTACAAAGGGATCAGACGCACCCGAAAAACTTCCATCGGCGCAGACCAAAAAGGACGATGAAACGCCTTTTGTTGAAGAACTAGACAAGCCTCAAGTCGACATTGACGAGCAATTCGCATCCACTGTGAAGCGGGCTTTGACTCCTTGGCAAGAACCCAGTGAGAAAGAAGTGGTGGCCCTTGACGATTCATACAAAGCTTTCCGGACGAATCTCGTTTTGCTATGGACTTTCAGTAATGGCCTTCTGGCATTGTGTATCAACAACCTCAGCATCGACCGACTTTGCTTAACGGTAGGTCGACTTCGAGTTCCTTGGTCTACCGTTTACGTGCACTAACTGATATAGTCGACATCTACAACTCGCACGGCGTGGTATTTCAAAATCATTCTGTTGGCCACTTCTGGTCTTTCAATTTTCCGATTCTTTGGGGCATTGTACTTCCTATTGAAAACGGGAGTCTTGTTCTGCGTTTCCAGACATTGAGTCAAGGCTTGGAACAGTAAATGAAAGGGTTCAAGATTTGAGAGGCGTGGGTTGGGTGGTAGGCTGATTGGTTGGGCGCATTTCGATCGTGGAAGACTCTAATCTTCCATGATATTACTTTCTCTTTTCTATTTACCTTTTGCATTCTGGATCGTTGTTAGATACCATGTGTCGTGATTTAGTCTGAGAAACAATATTCAATAATCCTAATGAACTCATCTTTTCGAAGGTTTTCTAGGGCGAGGAGTACAGTTTACCAAGCTCCGTAGTACCAAGGTAAATTCATCCGAAGTCCTGATGTTCCAAAAGGAGGTTTAGAATGATTTAGGTAGTTATGGATGTTCCTTGTACATGTGGACGGTCGGGAGAATATTACATTCCTACAAATGCAGTACATATATGTATGTACTATGTACCTCCCTAGGGATTTTAACTGCTGAAGCATTCCATATCCTAAAGTACCAGACTATTCTCCTTCAATTGTAGGAGACTTATTTGGGCAATAAATGCCAAGAAAATGTCGATCCGCCGAGTTAATGCTGCCTATTCTGCACAGAAGCCGCTTTCCTCCGAAGTTTTCTGATTCAGCGTAATCTTCTAATATTTTTAGGACCAGGCCTGGATTCACCGATATTTTACTCCACTCTGTAGAGGATAACTTCTTCATTTCGAAACAGCTGAAATCCAGTATGTCGGCAGAGCCTTCACTCGAGACGCAGGGACCTCAATTAGTGGTAAGAATCTCACCTGAAACAACAACTTCTCCCGATACTAATAGAAAATGCAGTGTGACCTCTGCCATTCGCGCAAGGTAATGATTGGGAGAAAAACCATTATATGTTCAATATGCAATTTGCTGAGCAGATACACAGGTCCGGTGCGACAGACGCGATCCATGTGGCAATTGCCAGGATGCAGGCATCTCCTGTAATCGTCGGCGGGCTGTGAAGCGCAAGTGTCTGAGCACTCGTCCCAGAGGTAGTCACTCCCGCAGTTCTTCCCACAGCTCCCGACGAAGGGCAACACCTGATCATCAGTATGATCAAGGTAACTCGACGGATGCAGTCTTACCCCTCGTCCGCTCTGTGCCCAGTCGGAATTTCAACGATCTCCGTGGGCCCAAGACTGGGGTTCTGTATGATCCGGTACATGATGCGCAAATGACGATTCAGCATCAACTATGCCATCTACCCGGTCTCACTCTAGACAGACGCAGTGTGCTCGAGACAGCCTTATCTATCATAAGAGTAGTGTCTGACAATTCAAGAGTACTGGCACAAGACAGTCTTAACGATCATCAAGAGGTAGTTTCCTCTCGAAGCCCGTCTATTGAATTTCTTACCTGGATGTTGAAAGGTATACCGATGCTTACCTATCTTAATGCGTTCCAAATTCACACTGACTGTGAAACTCCAGATATTCGGGCTGACAGATTTGGAACTTTCGTTGCGGATTATTTTAGACATATCTCAATCCCAAAATTGAAGCAGATGGGACTTCAACTTCTTCGCAACAATATATCGACTCACGACTCCATCATTTACACCGTTTGCGTCAATGCCGTTGCCTACAAGTTTATCACTACGGTTGTAAATCTTGAAGAAGACACTGACGTTGCCCTCGAGCTTAGAAAGAATGCCACAGAGTATCGAGCAGCAGCTCAGGCCGCATTAAAGCAGATCCCACTGCTAATACCGCCGTCTCTTGGGCTATTACAGGCTATTATATGTGGTGTAAGCCTCTCAATCCTGTTGCTATATCCTTTCTCAGCAGAACTAATGCATATACAGATATTTCTTCACCAAGGGTCTGGAGACGTCGATTTAAGTGGGGACCTCACCAAGGCCGCCTGTAACACCTGCATTGACTTGGATCTTCAAAGTAAAGTTCTGCGTGGAAATGCAAGCGAGGAAGAGCTTTTCTGTTTTCTTTGGTGCTACACTTTGGACAGGAACCATGCATTCAAATCACGAACTTCACGCTGCCTTCTCGACGTTCAGCTACCCTCCACTTTCAGTGGTCTTTATCCAACTTACCCTCCCATGGCCGAACATTTCCTGATTTATCTGGATCTTGCTCGGGTGCAGGATACAGTGGTTTCATACCTACCCGATAGTATATTGAATCAGCACAATCCATCATTGCTATATGGTACCGGAGAATACATGCTGCTGCAGATGCAATATATCGAGCAAAGAATGAACCACGTGAGTCAGGAACATCCCTTTCCCTTTACGCACAATTCATAACCAAGTACAGATCGCTTCATTGTCATCCGAGTGGAAAGGACTCGACTCTCAAACCGAAATGTCGGCCCTGAAGTTCGCCTATCAATCAGTCATGACCGGAATCCTATACCTCCTCCAATCCGATCTGGGCCAACCGACCAGCTCAACAGAGAACTACCTTCAATCAGCGCGCCGAGAGCTTTCAGCGCTGGTATCCATGTGTCACTCGGCAGAGAAACAATCTGCAGTCAACTTTTTGAACTGGTAAGTACCCAATATTGATAGTTACATGTTTACCTCTCTAATATAGCCCCTCAGGACAATTCTGCTCTACCCAGCGACGGCATACCTAGTCCTATTCTGCAACGTTGTTGCGACATCCGACATCGGCGATTTCAACCTCATGAAAGCTATCGCTGAATGTCTAACTCAAACTGGAGTCAGCTACCCCCTTGTGCAATTACGAACGCTCTACCAGAAATTCCTGGGTCTTTCTCAGGAGTTTTTCAACGATGAGCGCAATGTGATGCAGATGATCGGTTCACCTCAGTTGGGAAGTCCGCTTTCGAACCCGGTTGGGAACCCCTTTGCTATTACATGGGGTGCAGATGATTTGATTTTCGACCAGCTCGTTTTCACTGGAGCGGAGAGGTTGTCTGGTATGCTGAGTATGCCAGAGATTGATCTATCTCTGCCATACAGTTTTGATTGAAGGAGTGTATGATACCTGTTTCTGTGTTCGTCTGTGGAGTTGGTATGGTGTACCTGTATTGGTGGTATACACGGGCTTTCGTGAACATAGCATCCAACTTGATTCTTCAGTTTCTATATATAATGATGATATACAACAAATTTTTATGAAATATTCAAAGTTATGTTCCTGGTATATACAGGTATATACCGTTGGTGTTAGGTACGGTCTTGCGGTATGTGACGGCGGGTTATATATCCCGTTCTATATTATTCCAAACCGACGTGAGATACGTTTCAAAATCCAGGCATCTTGGTCGTATTTCTGTAAATTCGAATAATATTTGCTTCAAGAGATATATAATAGAAACAGTTTGTTCTCATGCAAGCGTACAATACGTAGAGTTACCAACAAGAGTTTTTTTTGTACGGGAGGTACCATAAAACAAATTGGAGATAGGACATGAAAAGCCGAGATCAAGATAACAAGTAACATATCAAAAGCTAGCAATACCTTACAAGGCCGACTATTCTGATATAGCCATCAAAGAATTACATCAGAAGAAAAACCACCAAAGACGCACGAAATAAAGAGCAAAGACATTTGCAGAGCTCAAAGCTTAATTGCGACACACTGAAAAACAGGGTGATATACCCATGGTTCGAAATCAAAAAAAGAGAGTCGGAAGAACAAAGTCATGGTGAGAAGAATCGAATCATAAGAAACGTTGCGCCGCGTATCGAGAAATGGCAAAGTAGAAACACCGTTTTCCCTTCACAAATTTGAAGCTGAAGCTAAAAAGACACGAACTCGCTGAATAACGGACAAGACACCATCGGCGGACAAGGGCATTGACCTAGTTGACACGGAACGAGTCGAAGATGACTGCATGACCAGTTAGTATGGAATGATCGCAAAAGAAAAGTATTGAAGAAGCCTACCTTCGTGACCTCTGCGGCAACCGCTGCCGATCCACATCAAAGTGTTCAAGAATGTGTATCGCTCATCGCCGGTCTCCATGGACAAATTGACCCGGTACTTATAGCTGCCGGGGTTGACACCATCTGCCATGTTGGCATCAATGACCTTTTCAAGAACATCCTTGGCGCCTGTCAACCATCCTTCTGTGCGCACAATGATGAATGCGGGTGGCTCATCGACAGTCTGAAGGATGTAACTCGCACGAAGGTTGGTAGTGGAATCCTTGGTGACGATCTGTGTATCTTGACCACCGGGCTGGTTTCAAAAGTTAAACACCGGACCAGAAATTATTGGAGGTTGAGATTCAGCCTTACCAGAACGATACCCTTACCCCATCGACCGGCCCATTGGCCGCCGGTGAACGAGACCCACTCTCTTTGGCCCCAGATGCTGGGGCCGACAGACACCTTGGGGTTCATTTTGATGCTCATGCGGAAATCCAGCTCCAGCGATGGCGCGGGGATTTGAAGTGATCGGGCGACGTCGCCCTCGGGGAATGTGTGAAGCAGGTTGTTGGCGGGGATCGAGTCTTTCATCACGCTGAGATAGGTGGGGCATTCCAGCAGATGCTGGCGCTGGCGACTAGTATTCTTTGCGCGAACTTGCTGGCAGTAAATACATTGGACGGACAGGCACTATTACACACTATTAGCTTGTATGTTCCAACGTATATGGCCGAGTTCCTCCGCCATACCTTGTCTTCTTCCTTTGCGCGGAACTCAACGAAAGCTGCGTGCACATCGTCTAGCGGGGGCGCCGGCAAGCTCGAACTTGTTGTCTTGGTCTTTGGCTTGGGAGTTGGGCGCGAGGGAACGGCGCTTGGCGGCGCGGAGGGAGGACCGGTAGCAGGAACCGGGGTTGCCATTGCAGCGCGGTTCTGGAGAGCCCCCAGCGGGGTCTGCAACGGGGTAGCATGGGGGTTGACACCATTGGTCATTAGGGTGCCATTGGGAGTTGGGATAGTACCAGGACCAGCTGGACCTGACGGGGCGGCTGCTGGGCCATTGGGAGTTCCGGGGTAGCCATTGGGAGGACCGATTCCGTTAGGGGCGGCCTGGGCGGGCTGAGAAGGCTGAGGCGCGTTGGGGTGACCGCGCAGACCGGGACACTCAAGGAGATGTTGTTTCTGTCGCGAAGTGTTCTTTGCTCGAATTTGTTGGCAGTATATACACTGAACGGAGAGACACTAAGACATGCACAAACCCCAAAACGGGTTTTCGTATGTTAGTGACGGACAGGTCGTGGGTGAAATATTACGAAATACACAGTCACGCACCTTGTCATCTTCCTTGGCGCGAAACTCGACAAACGCCGCGTGTACCTCCTGGTCAACGGTCCGACCCATGATGAGAGGAGTAATAGGAGCAAAGAGTATCCAGGATAGTAAACAAAGAAAGTCGAAAAGAAGAATGGGTAAGGGCGCGTATGGGGTGTAAAGTTGGAGGGGTCAGGGAGAGAGAAGAAAAGAAAATGGAAAGATGAAGACGGGAGATTACGCGGGTTACGCGCCCTGCGTAATTTGGAGCACTGCTTACGGTACGTGCGGTACTGAGGGTATATTACCTAGTTATATTCTTATGCTATATTGTATATTGTCTATTAGTCTACTCAAATCTATCAAGTCTATTATAACATAGTAATTTTACTTATTAGTCTCTTCACTTTTACTTGATCTATGTAGGTGTGTTTAACTCGAAACATCGGCTAATAGTGACCGGGTGGACCATAGAAATATGAAATATATGACAATTATGAATACATATAGCTGCCTAATAAAAAGCAATTCCGAAGCAGAAGTCTTGAATAATCCTACTTGACAGGTATTACGCTATGAATCATACTACATATCCCTCATATCCATGGATGGTCCTAGGTGTAAGCCTATCTCGGAGAATTCAGGGCAAACGAGGCACACTCGGATCAGAGACTGCTATGATTGGATTTGGGGGAAGACAATTCTCACACGCAAAAAAGGCGACGCTCATATATATGGTATTAACAAATATGAATATATATCCCGTTATATACTTCCCTCGTATATTCCGTTCATTTCCAAGGTTCGCGAAACATCTTCGGGTATTATATTACTGTTACTGAACCTGTTGTGGACGTTCTGTATCCCATACGCGATACTGTCAACTACTTCAGTTTACAACATACACGTTCCTGGTAAGATTGGGGTAAACGTGGGTTGAAATTAAAGATAAATTCATGACTGCATTGTAGATCCGTTTCGATGGCCTTTAGGTCCCATTCATACTCGTATACCCGTACCATATCACCTTCTTTCGTCCTTCTCTCTTCCACTTCGCACTGTAAAAATGTTCTTCCATCTGCGCATTCCGCGGGGTGATGTAATGCGCCAGCACAGATCGCGTCAATAGGTTCCTTCACAGCGATCGTCATGGCCATGGCTCTCCATTTTTGGTGCTCTATTGCAGCAACGGGAACCAGTCGGTGTTGGTAACCAGTGGCACACGACTGAGCAGCGCCCCTCATACCTTACCACCCGCATTTCAGCGCTTGGACAATCATCATCAATCATGTGTTCCTCGACATCATTCGCCGCCGTCATTCAGACGTTGTACGCACGGTTCACGCTCACATTCCCGATAATCGCAGGAAAATCTCGCCATAGCGATAGCGGACTGCCCACTCGGTGCTCTCGTCAATATACCCGTCTTGGTGGACATGCATCACACCCTTCGTAGCGAGCGTGAGGACGTTCATCAAAGCCTGAGTCGCAACAGCTCGCGTAGTACTCTCAGGAGGAAGAAGACTCGCGAATGTGGTCTGGCCGAGTCTGGCCGCGACTGGGCTGGACGCGTTGCTGTTCGGGCTTGGTGCGTTTCCTGCTTTGCCATCGTTAGCAGTACCCATCTTGCTCTTCATGAACTCTATGAAATTCAAGCTTTCCCGATCAAGAGTTGACTTGACTCGCTCGAGAGCAGAGCGCTTGCTTGGCGAGAGTGAACTGATATTCTCGCGGTCTGTCGCGAGCTCGCCTTCAAGATAACGGGTAAGATCTAGGTCGTCTCCGAAATCGCCTAGGAGCTCGAGGCTATGTCGGTCTTGTCCCGCGAGATAGCTGCGCCCGGCAAGCGGACTGGCGCTAGTGAGACGGCTTCGGGCTTTACGTCCTTGAGAAGACAGCTCGCTGACACTGCCGAATCGATGTCTTTGTCGAGAGCTTTGAATAGAAGCGGTGATGTTCCATGGCATCTGGGACGAGTGGTCGTCAAATAGACTCGAAGGTGCATCCCGGCCGACTTCAACTTCCATGTTGAGACGGTCGATGTTCTCACGGCTGAGATGCTCTGCTTGTTCCTCTCTTGCGCGCACTCGACGTCCCTCTGACATTTCATCGTCATCTGCGCTGCGCTTTCGCCTTTTTCGCTGAGCGGATCCACCAACCGCTTCGAGCAAAGTCTCCCCTGAGTAAAGGTTGAGCGGATGCAGTTCATGGTCCATTCCCAGTCCGACTCCAACCGAGCCGATTCCCTGACCGAAAACCCAGAAAGCAGCGTTCTTCTTCGAAATTGTTGGGATCTTGTTTCGCTGCTTTTCCTTCAGTGCTTGTATCATGTTTGCAACGTATTCATCGTTCCATTGAGCCAGCGTCATATTCCGAAGCGCCGTGGTGTCGTCCGAGATAATTTCCTTCGGGCGCCTGACCCGGCGGGTTCTCACTGCTTGGATCTCAATTGTTTCTTGGACCCCATCCACGCTTTCATTTGTCTGGAGAATTGGGTCTGCGGTCCGAGCGTCGAGATCCATCAGGTCGTTGGTATCAGTCACTCTGACTTCCTCGACGTCAATCTGCATCTATCGAGAAGAGTCAGCCGTCGCCTTTTGGTGTCCTCATGGATGTTTGGTACTCACCGGGTCTTCACATGGTTGGCGTTGTTGGTCGTCTATCGGTCCCTCGCTTTCCCTCGGACCAACGGTGGACTTCCTTGCATGCGGAGACTTCCCTCTGGCGTCGAGCTCAATGATATTGCCATCCTCGTCAAATTCAAAGTCAGGTTGAAGGAGAACACCCTCTTCATTGCCTGATCCTAGCCCCGTCACGTTTCCGAAAGGATCTTTCTTCTGAGCAGACGCGTTGATCTCATCAATCCCTAGGATAGTACCCTCTCCCAGGATATCATCTGATGGAAGCTCAAGGCGGAGGCTTGAAAGTTGCGGAGTGCCAGACAAGCTATTATTGGGCGACTTGATCCAGAGACCACTGAGTTCGGTCGAGCTGTCGTTCGTGGTGGTACTGAAGTAGGAAAAGTCGATTTCAAGTCCCGGAAGAGCTGTCTCGGGCAGGAAAGACGGGTCGTAAGGTACAATCAGATTGCTGGGTCTGGGATGGGGTTAGTACCGACCAGTGTCTTGCCAACCGATACCACCAATCAATGGGACATACTTGGTCTGGCCAGCAGCGGGATCAAGCCCACTCCCCGGGATGATCTTCAACTTGGAGACCATCTTGTCATGCATCGCCTGTGTGTCAAGCAGCGTGTACCCACACTGTTGATTGTACACTCGAGAAACACCATACCTAATACAGGCAAGTTGTTAGCATACTGATGGAGACAACACTGAGCGGCGGATCTCACAGCAAGCTCCCCTGCAGTCGAAGGGCCATGGGTGCATCGGGATTGATAATAACTCGACATGCATTTGGGACATCCACATCCAGGATGGCTTTTCGGTTTAGTCTCCTGGCAATGGACCTGGATCCCAGGGTTGCGACTAGCCTGTGGAGATGGTCTTATTAGTCTTGGACGTGAAACCGTGGGAGCCCTGGGTTTTCTTACCATATTGTCGCGACACCGTGCTCTGGCGAGGTGAGGACTAGAGCGCGACAAGCAGATGAGCGTTTGGTCCGGCATAACGATCGCAAATGGGGAACCTTTCGACTTACTTTCATGGCTGTAGAACATGGTTGCGAAGCAAGTGGACTCGAGTGACCCCAGGCCCTCGAGTCTCCACACAGCCTGGAGATGCAGCAAGAATAGTGGGAGGGAATAGGTTTTCAAAACCACAGAGTAGGTAGTAATTGGGTTACCAAAGGAAGGTGCCTCGCGAAGAGAGTCCCAAGGTGTGGGATGGGATTGCTGCACATGCACAGAAAAAGCGTGTCCCTGAAGCAGAACTTCGCAAACAGCCCAAAAAGCCACGAAGAACAGCCTCTTTTTCATGCTAGCTTTGATGTCCAAGATTTCATTGTACGCATTGTGTGAAGATCAAGTGTTTTTCTTTCCTCTTCCTTATCCCTATACATTATTGCTACTTTGATTTTTTCTTCTATTCTGAATTTCTTCGTCTTATGCAACGCTTATCTTATGTGGCAGCCTCAAGGCGATGACCTGGGCAATTTACATTGGTTAATCATCAGCGAGAACTGCATTTCCAAATCATCCGTATAATATCTTGGAGAAGGACTACGAATACGTTTGAGGTCAATTGGGTGAGAAAGGCAAGACTGATTGGTATAAGATGCATAGATTGGTGAGCTGATGACATGTGCAGCTCAATTAGTCGAAGTAGTGAGAATAGCCTCAGCTTTGATGCCCGCAAGCTCGCAGCTCATGGGGATAAAGTAAACGGGCTATCCGCGTTTAAGAGAATCAGATTTTTTACGGGTTATCGGAGATAGTTATATTTTAAAATAAGAAATGCTATTAAGCACGACGCGTATAGATTCGCTTCCTAGAAAGTTGGGTAAGCGCATATTTACGCTAGAAAATGGGGTCTCGATTATAATAAGTAACAATCGTATGCTACTATCGGGGTTCCTAAAAAGTATCCACTATTAAGACTAGGAGAGCCTGCTTTCACTTCGATTCGTTCAAGTCCCGTTCCTCAACCACTTTTCCAGGCTAAAGCTCCTATATCGCAACTCTTCGGGATCTCCCCTCTACTAAAAGCAAAACCCTGGACTTC